AAAGGAAGCTGAATTAAGATCCAAAGGTCTCATTGGGAAAGGAAAGGCAACATCAGAAGGATTATATGTTGAAGAATCCTGTGGAAGGTCTAACACGCGATCTGAAAGTGGAAGTAAGCATAGTTCAAGCAAGAACAGAAGGTCAAAGAGTCGTGGTGGTGGAGGAAAATCAAAAACCAGACATAACAAAGTGGACAAAAATACCTGCTTCAGTTGTGGCAAGGAAGGTCATTGGAAGAGAGATTGTCCAACCAAAGGGTACAAACACAATGGCGATTCTGCAGCCAACGTTGTCTCTGAAATTAAGCAACCCTTTGTACTCACAGCAAGTGTTCAAGACTCAAGGAATGAGTGGGTAATGGATTCAGGATGCACATTCCACATTACACCAAATAGAGAGCTGTTGTTTGATTTTAAAGAGGTTGATGGAGGAAAAGTGTTAATGGCGAATAACACGTACAGTGAGGTTAAAGGAGTAGGCAAGATAAAGATCACAAACTCTAATGGAGATGTAGTGATTCTCACAGATGTGAGATACATGCCAAGGATGAGCAGAAACCTCATATCTTATGGAATGCTTGAAAAAGCAGGCTGCAAATACGAAGGTGGAGACTTCAGAGTCACATTCTACAAAGATGGACAGAAAGTGATTTCTAGAAAATACAACCAAGGGTTGTACTACCTAGAGGGAGAAGTGATCAAGGGTGAAGTTAATCTCACTGAAACTATGAGTAAGATGACAAGTTTGTGGCACTCACGACTTGGTCATATGGGCTCAAAGAACATGGAAGTTCTAGTCAAGAATCAATATTTGCCTAAGGGAGAAGTGGGCGATATGGGATTCTGTGAAAGTTTTGTATTGGGAAAATCTCACAAGCAAAGCTTTCCCACAGCAAAACACACATCTAAGGGAATCTTAGAGTATGTTCACTCAGACCTATGAGGATCCCCATCAACGCCAGAGAGCTTAGGAGGATGCAAATATTTCATCAGTTTCATAGATGATTATTCAAAGAAAGTCTGGGTTTATTTCCTGAGAACTAAGGATGAGGCGTTTATGAAGTTCAAGGAATGGAAAGAGTCTGTGGAAGAGCACACAGAAAAGAAGATTAAGTGCCTAAGGACAGACAATGGTCTGGAATTTTACAACACACAGTTTGACAACTTGTGTAAAGCATCAGGAATTAAGAGGCATCGAACATGCACTTATACTCCTCAGCAGAATAGAATTTCAGAGAGGATGAACAGAACAATTATGGACAAAGTTCAAAGTATGCTGGCAGAAACATGATTGGGTCAAGAATTTTGGGCAGAAGCTACTTCAACAACAGTACATTTAATCAACAGAACACCAAATTCTTCTATTGGGTTTAAGCTACCAGAAGAGATGTGGTCAGGTCATAAACCAGACTTATCACATTTAAGGAGATTTGGGTGCTCTGCTTATGTGCACAAAGTTCAGGAGAAGACAAGTCCTAGAGCTGTAAAAGGAGTTTTCTTAGGATACCCTTTTGGTGTTAAAGGTTATCGGGTCTGGATTGCAGAAGATGGTAAGTGCACAACAAGCAGAAACGTTGTATTTAGAGAAGAGGAAATATACCGAGATACTTTGAAAGGCAAAGGTACTGAAGAAACTGTTCAGCAGAAGGAGAAGAAATCAGAAAGGAGAGTCACTTTCAGTAATGAATTAATTCGGGGACCCTCACCATTGGGTCATGATAATGGCGAGACTTCATCTTCAGGTGGAGATTCTGGTACTACAAGTGATACAGCTGTCACTACAGAATCAGAAGTTTCAGGAGAATCTGAGTATATAGAAGAGTCAAGTGACTCAGAGAGTTCAGATGAAGATTATGAACCAGAAGGGCTGACATTTCATGATGAAGATTCAGGAAACCAAGCTCAAGTCAATTCTCGGTTACTTGCAAGAGACAGACAAAGAAGGAGAAATGTTAAGAAGCCTAAGAAATATTCTGATCCTAACTTTGTAGCCTATGCATTGTCGGCTGCTGAAGATCTGGAAACGGAAGAACCAAAGACTCTGGAAGAAGCTAAGAAAAGCAGAAAGTGGAGGCATTGGAATAATGCAGCTACGGATGAGATGGATTCGCTGGCAAAGAGTTATACTTGGGATCTCATAGATAAGCCAAAGAATGCAAAGTTGGTGGGATGCAAATGGATCTTCAAGTTAAAGCCGGGAATTCCAGGGATTGAGAAACAAAGGTACAAGGCAAGGCTTGTGGCCAAAGGGTTTTCTCAGAAAGAAGGTGTGGACTACAATGAGATATTCGCACCAGTTGTAAAACACGTATCCATAAGGATAATGTTATCTACTGTGGTAAACTTGGACTATGAATTGGAGCAACTAGACGTAAAGACAGCCTTCCTTCATGGAAACTTAGATGAAAGGATATTGATGAGTCAACCAGAAGGATTCATCAAGAAGGGAGATGAGAATAAAGTTTTTCTTCTAAGAAAGTTTCTTTACGGGTTAAAACAGTCACCTAGACAGTGGAATCTGAGGTTCGACAGCTTCATGAAGGCAGAGAAATTCTCAAGATGTAGCTTTGATACATGTGTGTACATGAAAAATCTGAAAACAGCTCAAGCGATTTATCTACTTTTTTATGTAGACGACATGTTGATTACTTCAGGGGATATGTCTGAAATCAGGAAATTAAAGGACAGTTTGAGCAGGGAATTTGAAATGAAGGATCTGGGTAAAGCATCACGGATTTTGGGAATGGATATCATCAGGGATAGAGAGAAAGGTATTCTGATTTTGTCTCAGGAAAACTACATTGAGAAGGTTCTTAAGAGCTTCGGGATGTTTGAGTCAAAACCGACTACCACTCCCTTAGCATCTCATTTCAAATTGAAGAGTTTAACCAAGGCAGAAAGTAAGATAGAAGCTGAGCACATGGAGAATATTCCCTACGCTAGCGCAGTGGGAAGCCTAATGTATGCTATGATTGGCTCAAGACCAGACTTGGCTCATGCAGTCAGAGTCATTAGCAGATTTATGTCAAATCCAGGAAGGGATCATTGGGCAGCTGTTAAATGGGGTTTGAGATACTTAAAAGGAGCATCGAAGACAAATCTTACTTTTACTAAGAGTTCAGTTTTCAGCGTTGAGGGATTTTGCGATTCAGATTATGCTACAGACTTAGACAAAAGAAAATCAGTTACAGGACATGTTTTCAAAGTTTGGGGAAACACAGTCAGCTGGAGATCGAATCTACAGTCTGTAGTTGCATTATCTACAATTGAAGCTGAGTATATGGCTCTTTTATCAGCAGTGAGAGAAGCTATTTGGTTAAAAGGGATATGTGATGAGTTGGGATTTAATACAAGAAGTGTTAAAATCTATTGTGATTCACAGAGTGCATTGGCGCTTGCAAAGAACCCTGTGTTTCATGAAAGGACTAAGCATATAGCAACTAAATATCATCACATCCGAGACACAGTAGCAGAACGCGATGTTACCCTATTCAAGATTCACACAAGCAAAAATCCAGCTGATTTTCTAACTAAGGCATTACCTGGGCCAAAGTTTGAACTCTGCTGCGATCTTGTTAACATCGCCTAAGGGGCTTGAAGGCCACGGGTAACTCAATTGCCAGAAGTAACTCTCGCAAAACAGGAAACAAGTCACGACATCAGTTACTAAGTTTCTGAACTTGTGGCAATAATAACTCAAACCTAAAGGAGGAAAGTGAGTTACCCGTGGAGCTGGTGGAGCTGAGAAGCAGGAAGTCTTCAGCTCCAGGTGGAGTCCTTGACCTGAGAAAGGAAATTCGTTAGCTAGTCTACAAGATTTCAATAATCAGAGTTTAAGGAGGTTTTAAAAGAGAGAGGGGAAAAATTAGGTGTAAGTACATCACCTAAGCATATTTGTGCAGCATACAAGTTAGTGAACTTGCCGGAAAAGCTGTTGATTGGCCGGGAAAATCATAAATTCCTGGTCAAATCGAATAGTCAATCTTCATCACTGAAATAAGAAAAAAAGAGATTTCAGGGTATTGTTCAAGATGAAGCTAAACTGTCAGATGAAGAGATACAGGAGCTGAGAATCATACCAGAATATCCTGTGTGGAGTTTGCGGAGAAGCTAACACCGAAGGTGTCTGTCGTCAAATACCGAAGAAGACCGTCGAGCTCGGAATCGTAGGAGATGCGATGAAGAGGAAGCCTTAAGCGACGGAATTGTTGTTCACTAGAGAAAGCTTGAATCTCCAGTTGAGATTGGAGTCGCTGGTTCCACCACTGAAATGAAGCTATAAGTAATCGCAAGCCTTGCGATGAAGAAGATAGCTCGCGGGATCTCGATTCAAAGGTGAAGGTACCTTTGGGTTGTAATAGAACCGCCATGGGAGGCGGCAGTGGTCGGAACTGTAATCGGGAAGTGAGTTTCAGCGGTGGTCAGAAATAAATATGAGAGGGTCGTCATACTGGTCTCTCGATTCTGAGAAAAGAGAAGAATCGAGATTGTTGGCGAAGAAAACAAAGTTTTCTGTTTTTTGGTTAATCGGTTCGGTTCAAGGTGGAGATTGTGAAATTAACCAAACCAGATTAATGTCACTTTGGGCCAAAAATGGCTTTTGGGCCGCGTACATTATGAGAGAAGTGAAAATTGTGGGCTGCTATATGTTGTAAGCCCACGAAGCTAGAAGCAAAATTTACCTAGGTTATAGATGCATATATACCAAAAGTAATTAGCTTGTGCAGTAAGGTTTTTTTAGATCGAGCATTATCTTTGTATTCTAAAGAGCTGTAATCTTTATCTTGATAGTGAAAGTTGAGGGACAACAGCCTCCCTCCCCAGACGTACCGGTTAGGCCGGGAACTGGGTTAACAAGTAGTGTGTTTTATTCTTAACCTGCAAACAAATCAAACCATACTCAACAATAATTGATACAGAATAATCAACAGTTTTTGTTCACTGGAGTTGTTTCGCGTTTTTCTGATCTGCCGGTGAATTTTGTTCCGATGGCGATCAAGGAGGAGACGGAGGAGAGTTGCGGAAGCAGAGCCGTCGTGGCTTCTGTGTCTAAGGAAAACCCAAGGCAGCATCGTATGAAACTCGATGTCTATGGCGAGGTTCTACAGCGAATCCAGGATTCTAGTTACAGAGAAGCCAATTTTCCTGATTTCGATGATCAGCTCTGGCTCCATTTCTACCGTCTTCCTGTTCGGTAATCTCTTCACTAATTAGTGTTTTTCTTTACTAATCTTTGGGTTCCGGAGCAATGAGATAAAGATTTGCGACTTGTTCGTCTAATTTGGTCATTAAATTTTCTTTCATCACTTTGTCATAATTTGGTTGTACTAGTGTGATGCTTTGTTCATGGACATCGGCAATTATCTGTCTCATCTGAATTGGATTTATAAATTTACGGTTTTGAACAAATTAAAACTTCGTACGCTTCTTCTGCCGTTTTTTTAAAACATGTATATTTGTAGGTTTGCTAGTTTAGTTTCAACTGTTCACGTTACTTTTCAAATTTTCCATTTTTCTCGTCTTGGCTATATAATGTTTCACTTACATATTCTCTGGATGTGTAAATGTTGAGAGAGCAGAAGATGTCCTCACTCATCAGAGATTGCTCAAATTGGCTGAAGATCCTGCAACTAGACCTGTTTTTGAAGTTCGTGGTGTGCAGGTAACTAAAGCATCTGCCACTTTTTAGCCTTGCTCTATGTTTGATACTGAAATTTTTGTTCGAGGCTGCATTATCCTTTGCTTACTTGAATGGTACTTGTGTTCGTCTTTCTTACAGGTTTTTCCCACATTAAATCGACATTCTGCTGACGATGATCCTTCAGATCCTGCGGTGAAGGAAGATGCTCAAATCTCTTACCACTCGAGCAGGCAAGGATATGTAGTTTTGTAAATTCTTACCTGATCTGCAGACATTTTTCCTGTAACAATTTTCTCACTCGTGGCTGTTTTTTTACTTCCTGTTAAAAGGGTTCTTGCACCTCCAACTTTTGGTTCTTCTCCGAATTTTGAGGCTCGCCTACAAACATCATGCTGAAGACGATGATAATGTGGCCAAGTTGCCTAATTCTAGGTGAGAATTCTTTCCCGAAAGTTATATATCCGATTTATGTTGTATATGCTCCAGTCTTGTCTACATTAGTTTTAAAGAGGAGACATTTGTAGCATGGACTTGCGGTCTCATGTTTTTCAGTTTATCCTGATTTTATTATACAACTACGAGCAGTGATATATTCCCTTGTTGCCTATATTGTAGACCAATGCACGAAATCACCTTTTCAACCATCGACAAGCCAAAACTCCTAAGTCAGGTTGTTGTCTTTATACTAACTCTGTTAATGGAATCTCTTCTGTTGAGTTGAGTGATGTTTATGATTACCAGTATACAAATGCATACATCTCGTTTTAGCATTGCTTTGCGTTTGATACTGAAATTGACCTTTACTCATTCTTCTTTTTTTTTTACCTTTTTGGATTATGGTAATTGGTTGAAAATCGAATTCTTGATGGTAGATCTATTATGAACTGGTATAGCTTATTTTGTTCTTCTTGTTTCGATTTATAAGACATGAAGTCTTTTTGCATGCAGATACGTTACGGCTCAGAGATTTTCAGAAGCTTTTGATATCCTCTGTTGATATTGTTTTCCCATTTTAAAATCTTAGGTATTGGATTTTCCTGGAGGAAAAGTAGCTTTCACACATGAGATTCAGTTCATATCAGAATCCAGTCAAGAGCGTGTACCTTGCTACAGTGTTCTTGATGACAATGGCCAACAAATCACCAACAGCCACTTCGTTCAGGTTACTACTACATCGGTATATTCTCATTACACGCTTGTAAAGATTTAACAAAAACCAAGTGAGGTTCTTCTTCGTGTTTAGGTCAGCGAGGAAGTAGCGGTGAAGATGTAAGCGATATGGTTACTCTTCAAATAATGGATAATATATACTACGAAGCTCAAAGACAAGGGAGACTTTCCTTTTACGCCACCACAATCGGGGAAGAAGCCATTAATATTGCATCAGCTGCAGCTCTAATATCTGGAGATGTTATCTTTCCTCAGGTCTTGACTCTTGATTCATAAATGAACACTGACCATTTTGAAACGAAAACGTTACTTAACCTGATAAATTGGGGCGTTTGCAGTACAGAGAGCCTGGTCTTCTACTATGGCGTGGTTTCACGCTTCAAGAGTTTGCGAACCAGTGTTTCGGGAACAAATCTGATTATGGAAAAGGCAGGCAGATGCCAGTTCACTATGGCTCTAACAAGCTCAATTACTTTACCGTTTCAGCCACAATCGCGTACAGCTTTGACATCTCAGTTCTTACTCAACCGATTTTATATTCTTACAATTTTTCTTTTTATGTTGTTGATCGTTATGTTTTGTCTGCAGTACGCAGTTACCAAATGCGGTTGGTGCTGCTTATTCCTTAAAGATTGACAGGAAGAATGCATGTGCAGTCACATTTTTTGGCAATGGTGGCTCCAGTGAGGTATATTAAACAAAAAGACTTGGTTTGATTCTTCAAAGTCAGATTTTGATTTTCAGAACGTACACTGTTCTTGAGCCTTTAAGATTTTATGCATCACTATGATTACAAAAACTGAAGAAAAATCTTTTTCACTGGTAGGGAGATTTCCATGGTGCATTGAATTTGGCAGCAGTTATGGAAGCACCTGTTTTATTTATCTGCTGGAACAATGGATGGGCAATCAGTACTCCCACCTCATATCAGTTCCGAAGTAAACTCCGTTTTCTTTTCCTCTGGATGATTTAATTCGTCTCTTTTGGGTTTTACAAGACTTTTGCAAATGCAATGGCCAACAGGTGATGGTGTAGTGGTGAAAGGCCGTGCTTATGGAATTCGAAGTATACGTGTGGATGGAAATGATGCGCTTGCTATGTACAGTGCGGTGCATGCTGCTCGCGAGATGGCAATTACAGAACATAGGCCACTCTTGATCGAGGTAGCTTTTGATGTAGATATTACATGTAACATCAAACAAGTTCAAATCATTTTTTTTGTTTGTCTTGCGTGTTAGGCCTTAACCTACCGTGTAGGACACCATTCAACATCAGATGATTCCACTAGGTACCGCTCTGCATATGAGATAGAGTGGTGGAACAAAGCAAGAAACCCGCTGTCTAGGTTTAGGACATGGATTGAAAGTAATGGCTGGTGGAGCGATGAAGCCGAATCTGATCTGAGAAGCAGAATCAAGAAAGAGGTAACAAAATAACCTGGATCATGATCACTGCATTAAAAAACTTGACTTTGGATGTATGATCCGATCCTCTATCATCTTGTAAACAGATGTTAGAAGCTCTCCGGGTTGCAGAGAAGTCCGAGAAACCGAATCTGAAGAACATGTTCTCGGATGTCTACGACGTTCCTCCTCCTAACCTCAAGGAACATGAATTTGTGGTGAGGCAGACGATCAAAAGTCACACGCAAGATTACCCATCAAATGTTCCTCTTTAGGTCAAATTATATGCTCTATGTAATAAAATGTAAAATATTATCTTTATTGCGAATCCAAGTCTTTTATTGAAATGTAGATCATTTTTATTCAAAAGCATATAACTTCTTTAATAGAACACAAACTTGTTCAGATTTCTCAGATTCAAAGAAAATAAAAACATTGCAAAAAAACGAAGGGCGATTGGTGTTGAAGATTGATGTTATGACCTGTAATTGTAAACGAAGATTTGGTGGAAACATGCGTTCAAATTTTACATTTTCTACGATGTTCCTCCTTGTAACCTCAAGGAACAGGAACTTGTGGTGAGCCAGACGATCATAAGTCACCCACAAGACTACCCATCAGATGTTCCTCTTTAGGTCAAATTAAATGCTCTATGTAATAAAATATAAAAGATTATCTTCATTGTGACACCCAACTAATATGATAAAGCAAAGTATAGCATCATACATTACTTTAAAAACGTTTGAATACTTACTTTCGAGTCCCAACTAATACTATATAATATTTTATAGAGGTTTAATGATGTAACTTATCGCAATGATCGTCCCACATGTAAACAGAAAAATAACAACGCCAGAGAGAATGAACGAAAAGCTAATGCCATAACAGTGGTGCAGACAATAGTCTATAAGTAGGGAGGAGCAGATAGATACAGTTGTAAACACAATTACAACAGAGCAGTTAACTTATGATGTGATGGCGGTGGCGGAGATTGCTGAGATGTAGATGCCTCAGATGCAGTGGGCTCTGGTGAACTGTTGCTATAAAGAAAAAAGAAAAAGATTTGATTAAATCATACAACAATTTGAGAGAAATTATCTGTATAACAAAAGAACACTTACGGTATGGATTGATGAGACTGATGTAATTCGTTAACAAAATATTCATTACTAGTGCAAAAACCCTTGCGAATCTGCCATAAACTCTTATTTTTGACTATGACTATGGACATCGCCATTCACACTTCTGATTTATTATTACAATATATATTTTTAGTATAGTTATTATTAATATATTTTTGAATTTCCTAGAAGTTGCAACATATTCGTAAAAACACTAGAAGGACAAATATTTAAATAAAATTAATATATGAGATTGTATATATATAAATCATGACTATTATTTTTCTTCGTCAACAGCGGTAAGAAGAACAATTGTTATGTGCTAATATTTTGGGAAGCAAAAAAATAAAAACCTAAAATATATTTTTGGAATCGAACTAATTTCACTGCAATAGTCATTAAAAACCACCATTTCAATACTAAATATAGCATACCTAGAAAAAGAAAAAACAAGTAGTTTAACCAAATTAAAAAAAAAACAGTTCTACTATTTACTTGTTGCATTTAGAAGATTACTCCAAGTTGTTATAACTCACAACTTCTCTAGTTCTTCATGAACTCACACTATTGCTTTTACGAGACTCCGCCCAGTTACGAGACTCCACCCAATGACGTTCCAGTTACTTACCCTCCTCCGCCAAGTGGTGATGAAGTTCATCAGTATATCCAGTCGATTTGTGCAGTCATTGGAGTGATCTTCGGTGCAATCACGGTATACTTTACGATACACATGTGGTGTATCAAGTCCGAGGAACGTGCTGATCGCTGACAGGATTTCTTTTTTTTTTCTTTTTTTTGAACATTAGGATTGTCTTTTTTTTTGTTTGACGGCGAACATTAGTATTGTCTATTCAGTTGTTATTCTAGTTCTCTACTTCTCTATGAACGGTTATATGTCTACATGTTATTCATAAATAATTATATTAACGATTATATGTCATATTATTAACTTATTTCAATAAGAAACATTTGTTAACTAATTATTGGTATAAAGTTGTTATGTTAATTATGTTATGTAAGAAAAATAGTCATATTAATACAATTGTTATATTAAAAAAAAGTCATTATTATTATTAACTATGCTATTGCATTGATGCTATCATAATTATTATCAAAATCTGGAGAGGAAAATAATTAAAAATAGTAGTATTAGTAATAAAATTAAAAAAAAGTAAAGACAATAAATACTTTATACAATCAACAATAATAATAAAAGAAAATGTCAGCGGTTAAGATTTAGTTTCAACATTATTTTTTTTCATTCATTAGTATTTCTCTTAGAATATTTCAATTAATCCACAAACAAAGCTTTGATGACCATAAAAGTGAAAATTCCGAAGCAGCTTACAAATCGCTTTATTCTTAACAATCTGTAAATTCTCTTGCTTGAGATGACCACTTTCAGAAATTAGTTTGAAGATTTTAATAATCCAATATTTATTCAGACTACCACATCCTCCTAAAACGGTTCCACAAGAAATCAGCTAAACACATTGCTCATATACAATATCACCACACGTCCAGTGCATTACTAGTACAAAAACCTATGTGAGTTTGCCACAAACTCCTCCTTTTGACTATGACTATGGACATCGAGATGACTATCTAGATAGTAACACTACGCCCAATGACCTTCCACATGACACTCCGCCTAGTGACATTCCACATACTTACATTGATGGACTATGTGAAATATGCAGAGTGCGATATGGATATGCTCATGTTGCAAATAACTATTACCAAGGATGGACTCAATACGCAATTGGAGGAAGCATGAGCTCTCGCGTGAAGAGCGAATCAAACTATTTCGTCGCACCAAAATCCGGAAGCAAAGAGGTGCGTTTCACAATCGTAATCGCGAAACATGAAAGGCCTAACACATTTTCTTCTCATCTAACATTTGAGTCTGTACTTTGTACTTTGGTTGTAGATAACTGGGAAGAAACATAGCAAAGGAGATCAAATGCAATGGAAATTTTATATTCTTATAATTTCTTTTTTTTATGTTGCTGATTGTATATTTTGTCTCCAGAATGCAGTTACCAAATGCGGTTGGTGCTGCGTATTCCTTAAAGATGGACAAGAAGGATGCATGTGCAATCACATTTTTTGGCGATGGTGGCTCTAGTGAGGCGAATGTTAGGATCTGAGACCCTCAAGACGTCGACTTTTCCTGAGATAGACCCGCACAAACCAAGAGAGAGATATTTGAAGCCGAAACAGTGGAGGTAACAGAGAAGAACAGAGGAGGAGGAGAAAGAAGAAGAAAAAAAAATACGCAAGAGCACACAGAAAACTTTTACGAGTTCACGCCCGTTAGGGTCGCTATGTCTTGCCGAGCCTTGCTCGGAATCCACTAAACACAAAGAGTATACAAACAATAGATTCAAAACAAGCGATCCTTTCTATCGCCCTTCACTAGCGCATAGAGTTCACTCTGTTCTTCCTCTTGTAAACTGAGAAGATACAATGTAAAACTTAAGCTAAGAACTGTATTTCTCTCACTCTCAACAACCTATAAGTTCTCTCTAACTCTCTCTCATTGCTTACGGAAACCTTATACAGCGACACCACCTTTAGGGCTTCCCACTATCGCAAACGCCATTCACACATCTTGAAACGCCAAAATGCAGTAGTCTGTTAGCGATTGTAATCCTCCAAATGTGCTTTCTTCCTTTTGACCACAAACGGACACAAAGTCCTTTGAGTGTAAACAAAATGCTGCTGCTTTGTCTTGATGCTGCAAAAGCCGTTTTGCCAGCTCGAAAGTGGTCCCTTCTTATCCTTCAATCATGACCAAATAATGACCATGCTATCTGATACCGAAGTGGTCCCAATAAAGCATACGCCACATTTGAGACAAGCTTGTTCCTCAAGTAATCAAGACTCCACAGTGAAGTTATAAAAAAGAAAGACTTGGCTTTGTTCTTTAAAGTCAGATTTTGGTTTTTATCAGAACGCACATCATTCATGAGCCTACTAGATTTTATGTATCACTATGATTACAGAAACTGAAAAGAGAAGTTTTTTTGTTTGGTAGGGAGATTTTCACGCTTCAAGAGTTTGCGAACCAGTGTTTCGGGAACAATTGGTATGAGTTCTGAAAATTGGTATGAGTTCTGAAAATTTTCATTTGAGTCCAACTTCAGATGCTGTAACAACGAGGAACCTTGAGGTCGCTGGAGGAATAGATGTTGCTGTAAGTAGTTCTCCGGACCAAAAAGCTAAACAAGAGGCTGAAAATGAAGGAAAACAAGAAATCGGAGGATACTGATAGGAAGTTATCACTTCCTGATGAAAATAGAGCATCAAGTTTAGCAAGTTCCTTTGAGATGGCCAATGAGAGAATGGAGAATGGGGAGCAGGTTTCAGAACAGATTAATAATCAAGTTCATTTTCAATCTGGCATAGAAGAAACCAGCTTGCCTTCGGTTAAAGATTTTGAGAGAACCATACTTGAGAGTTCTTGTGTAACTGCTTATGATGTAATGAAAAATGAGACGCAGGAGGCACAGCTCATACACAATCGCACTTTAATGGAGCTTGACAAGTACGAAGGAACTGGTGATTCAAGTGAGAAACACTCTGAATCCACTTTGAAGAATTGTTGTGAAGAACTATCCTCTGGTCATTCTGTGGAACTGATAAGTGACAAAGTGAAGTATAATCAGGATGAATCCTGATAAGAGTGCTTGACACGACAGGTCTCATGTCCTCTGCAAATGAGGAACGGTATAATCAGGATGTCCTAATGAAGATAAAGAAGAGCATGAGAACGTTCCCTGCTGATGTCATCCTCTATATTGACCGTATAAACGAGAATCCAGACATTCATTTACTTAGAATCGTCACAAGCTCTCTGGGATCATCGATATGGCGAAACGCTATCGTGGTTCTAACTCACGCAGATTCCTATGTCCCATCTTCTTCAAGCTCAGCCCCGGCCCAAGTGGGGTGGGCAGAAGTGCACCCGCCCATGGGCCCAACCCATTTATTTTTAAAATTCTGCATATAATAGAGTCCGTTTTAAAATAAATAAGCCCAAATAGTTATATTTTTAATTTAAATTAGTATTTATTAATGGAAATTTTATTAAAAAAAGCTCAAAATTTTAAAATTTAGTGTAAATTTTTATATTAGAAAGCCCAAATATTCAAAATTTAGTGAAATTTATATGTTAGTGGGCCCAAAATTTTTTTTTGCCCTAGGGCTCCCAATATCATTGGGCCGGGGCTGTTCAAGCTACAGAGACTTTGTTGCTCGGAGATCTTCTCTTATGCATCAATCGATCAAACAAGCAGTTCCAGAGTTAAGCTGTGGAGACCGGAGCAAGATGCCTGGAATTGTTTTGGTAGAGAACAACATGAGCTCTTTGTGTGGAAACAAAACCAGCGAATGTACTTGTGCGGACTGGAGGTTGAAACTACTGATCTTATGTTGCTTGGTTAAGATCCGGTCAAAAGCCGGTTCGTTGCTAAAGCAGAATACAATTGTAGAAAAGACCGGTGTTTTTGGCTCCCAGCTTCGATCTTTGACTGTATTGTGTTCCTTGTGGAATGTGTTGCTTCTTGGGAATAGCACAGGACAAGAAAAGACCTCTTCTTCTCATTCGCATGATGATTTGGAGGAGGAGAAGAAGAGGCGTTTACTGGATTCTTACCCTGAAATCCTCTGGGACGAACAGAGTCTGGAATGTCTCGAGCAAGAACCAGAAGACGAAGAGAGAAGAAAAAGACGTGAAAACCAAGAAATCGACAGAGGTTGGGGAAAAGGAAGTGTTCTTCTTAGTCGTGTGAGAACAAGAAGAAGAAGACTTGGGTTCCAAGAAACAAAAAGGCTCGGTATCTATCTTGAGACATCTGATTTGCACACAGGGTTTGCCACTGAAGACTAGAGAAAGCACGAAGAACAACAAGAAGGGAAGATGTTGATGAGGATTAGAGGATCCATGTCTGTTGTAATGGTCCTGTAGACCGTGATGTTGTTAAGGACCTAAACCAAGTGCTTAAAGCTGTTGTAATAGACGTCGTTTATCTTTCCGACTAAATAATTCACTTTTTAATTGATAATAACTCACTTGTCACCACACTGGATCATCTCAAAAATCAAAGTCAATTAAACTGAACATTATTGCATTATCATTCTAGAGAAAAGCAATAGTATTCAGTTTAATCAACGATCATCAATAGCCACGAAATAAACATAAACGTTTTTTTAATAAAATATTGTGTTCCTCTTCCAATCTTTGCAGTTCCGTCATAATGACGCAATCGAATGTAAATTCTTGCTAATAAATAGATAACAAAAACTTTATTGCTATGAAGTTATTATTATAAATATATGTATCAAATGTAAATATATATTGTATATAGAATAAGAAGATCAAATAGAAAACAAAACGAAATAAATAATAGGTAAGATGGTCTTGTAAGTTTTAAAAGATATGGAACGAGAAACTTATATATAATTTGTTTTTTGAACATTTTTTAAAAACTTAAATATAATTGGTAGCTAAATAACTAGCAAGAATCCCTTATTGTATTAATATTCGTTCATAGGACCATAACTTGATCTTCAACATCTTCTAAATTTGCAAAACCAAACACAAACCCTTTTAAGTAATTCACACAAAAAGAAAAAAATGTAAAAACCATACTAGCGGATAAAGATTTCAAGATAATAAGCGGCGTCGTCATTTTAGAGAAGTTGAGAAACGGTTGCCATCGTTATTCGTTTCCAAAAGCCCATTTTAACAACTCGGCCACCACTTCAAAAGGCATGTCGTTGATGAACAATCTCCGCCGTCTCTACGACCAGATGATAATAAAAAGGACAAACTATAATAAAACTGAAATCCTTCTGTCTTATAATTTACTTTTGGTAGATGTTAACATAGAATGTAAATATATGCTTATGTTAGCTTAACCCATGCTCTGTATATAATTCAAACTATATTGTTCAGATTCATTAATGGGGAAATCTGATTCATAAGAAACTTTTCTGTTCAGATTTACAAAAACAAAAAATCTAAGTTAAAAGATATTTACTTAAAATTATAAGAACAGTTTTGAGAATTTAAAAGCAAGATATTTTTCACTTTTTATTAATTATAATATTCTTCACATAATTATTCTCTGGTTTGAAAGTTGAAACATATAAAGAACTTCTTTAAATCTTTTTAAGTTATATCTTCGAATTTGTCATACACCATGATAGTAATACGAACATATAACATATTCTAAACAAGAAAATCTTCACTAATGGATGCAATGGCCTTCTTAACAATTATTTGATACATTCTTTGTGTTGGATGGACTGAATCCCAAAAAACGTATTTAGTAGGATCTTCGCATACTTTCATGTCTTTGCATGTCTCCCCATATTCATAGGTACCCGTTCCACAACATCCTTTTGAAGTTTCGACGAAACCTACAAGTTAAAATAAAACAATATTTATCTTTTTTTGTTCTTTGATTACTGATTGTATCTCAAAGTTGATCCGTGCTCTCACCAAATTTTCTTGGGTTTTTAATGGCTTCTTGGATGGTAGAATAGGCATCAACGTAAATAGTTTTCAAACCGATTTTAGATTGCAGAAGCTCGAGATTCTTGATAATTTTTGAGTTGAAGGAGAAAGCGATTTGGTTTAATTGATCAACGCAAGTCTTTTGCCCTCTAAGGTATTTTATTAGGGGCATGCATCCCATGGGAGGAACTCCTACCACCACCAACCTTCTAGCGCCAAGTCTACGTAACATCTATAAAATAACAAGAAGCAAACTCAAAAGATGAGTCAAATATTTTTTTGTATAATACTCAAATGCAATTTATATCATTACAAAGATGTCTTTAATTAGTATGTACATATGTCTGTTAAAGGTTCTTAATCAGTTCTGTTTATCCACATTAAACCAAAACTTGATCTACAATATTCAAATCAAATTAAAAACTGTGATTTTAAAATTATATACATTATGCCGAAAGTGAAACAAAAATTCAGCTGGACTTTTCTAATGGTTATATACAAGGTTATTCTTATGTTTCCCAATAAATGAGAATCAGAGTTACTATGAAAGAGAATTTATCAAGGATGACCATAAAAAAAATCAGTATTAAAGGTATTAACCATATTAAAGCTATGGCTAAAATATATTATGCATTTTATGTATTAAATACGAAATTATTTTTAGTTACATTATTGTTCTATTCTATTAAAACGAAATTGAACATAGATACTATTTTTAATCGTGTGTATAAACTGAAATCGTTTCTGGTATATATCGTTAATTATACTAACATCTTATTCTAGTAAAAAAGATGCTTAAAACAATGTTTATAGTATAGAATGACTGTGTGTTGAAGCTGTTTCAAGTATTGCTAATCGTATTAGCGTTATATTCTATTAAAATGATGTTCAATATTTATACTATTTCCAATTGTGTATATATATAATATAGAATGATAATGTATTACTTGCTCTTTAAGTTTTGGTTTAGAGGGCAAAAATGAAAAATCTAAGATTTTTGATCATTGAGTATATTATTCAAATATGATGGTTATATTATTAATACAGTATTTTTTCTAGTTATTACAAAAAAAAATCCCCACTATGAAAAGTGGTTCAAGAAAGTATATGCAAATATTAATTTTTGAAACTAACAAAAAACAAAAAAAAAGCAATTTTATATGCTTGTCTCGATATGAGTTGTAGTTGTACCCTTCTTGGACATGTTGAAAAACCGGACATGAATATTAAAAATTCATGTCATTGTAGGGTAGAAATTAAATTCGTCAACAACCAGATAAGAGATTCGTATTATTTTCTTTATAAGCTGTGTCTTTTTTTCCCTCTATTTTTGTTGTAATTTATGAGTTTATTTTGCTCGTAGTTAATTATCAGGACCCACACACATACACAAGATATTTGTCGCTTTTTTTAATTTCAATAATTCTATCGCATTTATTTCTGCAGCTATACAGAGACACGTTCTTTTTTTTTTTAATAGTGGTTTCGTTCAAGCAATAGTGAAATATAGTTATCGTATAAGTTATAACTATACATGTAGATATAGTTATCACATATACATAGTCACTGGACATAATACGAGGCTCAGTGGTAAACTGGTAATGTACACGTACCTTGGCGTCGTAAAGCATACGGGAGGAGAGAAAGTCGATGTATTGTTCAACTGTAAATTGCTTTTGTCGAGTAAAATCGACTAAGTAATTTTGAAGAAAGTCATTTGTTCCCATACTTAGAAGAAATATCGCATTCTTGATCATTTTCGAGCTCTCTAATGGACCAACCAATTTATTGAGGTGAATTTTGTAATGCAAAAAGTAATTGGCTTGCGTCGAGAAACTCCACACGTTCTGATCACCGAGAAAAAAACAAATTAATTTCAGTTTGATTTTTATGAAAAGAAAAGCTAAAATTTGTATGTTTTTCATCAAAAGTAAAAAAAAAAAAAAAAAACATGTTTAGGCTTACGGATATATTAGCTGTAAGATCGTCATAACCAGAACCAGCCGAGGCAAAACTTGCACCGCGAGGTAGATCGGCTTGGGTTAGTGTTGGATCAAGAAAAGCCGGTATGGGCGGGTGGCCCATGGCCTCCGCTGAGAAAGATAATGCAAATTGAAAAATATAAGTTAGACGTGAACATAATCCCATAAATAGCAGTAAAGTCTCTTCAGTTATTAGCATATCTAAGTTTTAAGAGTAATATAAGTACTAGTTTGACACAATAAGATACTATAAGTACTAATGTAAACCTTACCAAATATACAAGCTTGATGTGTATATATCTTCAGTTAACAGATAGAAATTTTAAGAATAAAATAAATACTAGTATAATGTAAAACATACCGATAAAATCAGGTGCGAGTAATCCGTCGCATAATCTTCCGGTAGATTTATGGTTTATGAAATTTCCACCATAAGGTGGAAAATTTCCTTTCATATCAGTATTAAGGAAATTATTGTTTCCAGGATCAACACTAGAATCTCCAAACACAAGCATTGTTGTTACATTGTGCTTTGCAGCTAGCTGACGAAGGAGGTGGACGTCCAGAGCTATCACCGAAGGCGGCTGATGCAAAGTCGCTGTCACAAAAAGAGTCACAAAGATAACAATCAACATTTGGATAGATAGAGAGAATGCAAGACTTTTCTTTTGGTTTAAAAATTTCTTTTGGAGAATGTGTATATGTCATATGGTTTGTGTTATAGAGAATTGTCATATATATAGAGGCAATTTTTTTAACAGCTTGGCGTGCAGTTGTTGGTTGAAACATATAATGTAAAGTGGCCAACAGAGAAATTTAATAATTTGGGTTCTTGATTTTGTTTTTTGTTGTGATATATATATATATATATATAAATTATATATGATTGATTGTCTCTCACACATATTTTTGGTATCTTTTATTTAGGTGCTCCATCATATTTTATTTTTATTCGTCAAATAATACATTTTGGGCTTTATATATTATATGTACGGCTGGCTCTTCAGGTTTGAATCCGAACATAGTAGTAATACTGTAATAATATCAAATTTAACTAAAATATACGGTAAATGAAATCATATCACAACAGATTTTATTAAATTTTTGAAGAACTATCTTGTCACCGAATATACGAATAGTACCTTCTCAACCAAACTTCATACTAATCGTACAAAGTTATAATTAATCACACCACCTATACAATATATAATATATAATCAAGAAAACAATTAAAACGTTAAGCACATTTGTGCCTTTTACTGGCACCCATGTCCTCATGCGATCTTTTTTTATTGTTTTCAATCTGGCTTCTGGTGATGTGATTTTTTTTTTCTTGATAGCAGATTGAAAAAAAAAAAAACTCACCGTTATGTTTCCCCTGGTGAATCTGGTAATGGCGGATATTTGTTACCATTTTACCTCCTGTATGTACCAATTTCTTTTCCCACTATTCCCTCATATGTGGAGTAATTTGGATGCTCAAGCGTCGTCGGTATTGCCAAGGTTTTCCTTCTGACTTGATGGTCTTCTCTACATTTGTTGTAGTGTATTCAAATAATTTATTAAATCATTGTTATTCGATTTTTATAATGTTTTTTAATAATTTTTATCGTCAGTTTATCTTTTGTCTTAACCATTGTTTGGTGGATTTTTTAGTTGTTGTCTTGCCTTTGCGTATGTCCCTTTATGGGAATGTAATTCGTATATTTATGATATAGTTTGAAACTTTCTAAATCAATGGAAAATATAGGGTTGAACCAAAAATTAAAAAACGTTAAGCACATTATCTTTGATCCAAATTGATTTTTATCTATTTGGGTTGAATCCAACTTATCCCATCATTTGAGGATTAGGTTTAAGTGTCGTGTGCATGCGATGGAGCGCAATTAACGCAGCCACTTTTGGTCATGATGGAAGAAAGTATTGAACTGGATGTTACTGCTTCGACTAGTTTTTTTCATCACTAATTAATAGCAACCGGATAACAATGAAAGTTATTTACATTTGTAATTTTTTTTCCGTAAAACCGTCCACTGACAACGTAATGCGGTAGCAATGAATGTTTACGCAAAAAAGCAATGAATGTTATTTTTATATAAAAAATAATAATTTGTCAATAATCAGTCGATAAATAATAAATATTTAAAATTTTATCTTTAATTACCTGCTAAAACAACAAAAAACAAAATATATTTATTAATAATTCAAAACAATTACCTTTAAATATATATATATATATAATGCATCCAATATTATCAAAAGTATAAATTGCACTCGTTCATGGTTAAAGTTTGTTTTTATTTGGCTTCAATTAGAAATTAAACAATTTATACGGAGTATTTTTAGGAGCAGATCTATAATTAATATATCGATGCCTAACATATAGTTATATATATACTATATTGTTAATGGGTGTTAACACATAATTTATGAATAATAATTTTTTTAAAGACAAACTTTAAACATGTAAAACGAGTCTATAAATATATAAATAGAACTATAAAAAATGTATATAATATATTAAAAATAGAATTGAGTATCCCATGCTAACTTATCTAAATTATTTATAATTTATGAATAATTTGCTGAACACGTAATCACGTATTGCAAAAATCAGATCTTTTTTCTCTATTTAGGTCATTTAGGCAGATAACCATATTAGGAGAAAAATAACATTCATTTTTGTGGGTTTTGCATATATAAAGTTCCATAATCATTTACCTAACTGGATAAATTAATATTTATGGTCAGGTCATTTACTATATGAATTTGTTGTCGTTACTTTTCCTCTAAATAGACGAACATTTATATATTTTTCTATGTTTTGTTTTGTTAAAGACGATTGTTCTTTGTATCTGATAAAAGATCAATTTTCTTATCGTCTCGTCTTTATCTTCCTCATATTATAACAAGTTTGTTTGCGCTTCGTTTATAACAACCTTCGTTAATTAACTTTGTAGCCTTATTTTTCTTCCTTTTCTCATTTAATATTTCATTTTTTAAAAAAGTCTTTAAAAGTTTGAACACGTATATAACGAACTAATCCATCAGGCAGGCAAAATATAATACAGTAAATGACTAACAAAAAGTACAAAATAATTAAAAAGAGTATTCAAATGGCTTTTTTAGTGACATGAAAGTCTCCAAATAGATTTAGTTTAGTGACATGAAGGTCTCCAAATAGATTTAGGTCACCTAAACGTTGTGGAACATAAGTACATAACAGTTAGAGAATGGCCATCCTTTGCCGTAGTATTAATTATCATTGTCCTCTTTTCTTGCCAACTATCAATTATCATTGCTTATGTTATGTGTGTGTATATAATACACATATATATCATATATACACATATTTATTCTGTCAAAAGTATGTACATATATATACATACAAGTATAGAAAATTATAAATCATCGAAATATACAGAAGGTTGGAACCGTTGGGTCGATATACTCAAAACAAGGATTCAAAACAATAAAATTGTGTAATATCCAAAAAAATCCAGTCGATAATTTAGAATTCAGTCCATTACTTAGATAAATGATAATCTCAAATCTTGTATAGAAAATTCTATGAGTGAAGAATCAATAATTCAAAAAAAAAATTGGGCGTGGTATTAAAAAAAAAGATAACAAGATAAATAATTTTATAAGTAAGAAATGTAGGTGACATCAGTTTCAAAAAAAAAAAAAAAAATGTAGGTGACAATCATTAACTGCTGTATAGATCTCAATAAAGAGAGTAGAATGATACGTAAGGTTAGGTGGCTTATATTTATTGGACACGTCATCCACTTCTGCACCACCCATGCTTTCTCACAATCGACTGTTTTTGGACTTATGACTATACCGACCGAATTCAATTTCAAATAAATCTATGAAATGTACATAATTGTTCTTTATTTTAAAATTTGTCACTGTACACTAATAAAAAACAAAAACTTATAGAATTATAGAAATTTTAATTATAAAATAGCAGAATTTCTAAATATAAATTGCAATTTCGTATAATTATTTTATTAATTCCAGAAAACTATAAATATTACAAAATTATTCCATCATTTTTCAAAATTACTGAAGAAAACCCTAATCTAGAAAAGAATAAACATTATTTGGGTATCTACGACATTGGTTGGATATCTAAATAAGGATATCTCAATAATTAAATATTATATAATTCAATATATAAAATTAAATTTTATTATTTAAAACAAATAAAATCAATTAAAATAAAACACGTATGTTAAAGGTATCTCAAACAAAATTAGAACTATATCTCATATGAGAGAGTTGAGAATTCTTTTTTCATCTCCTTTTTACTTTTTGATTTTTTTTTTTTAAATGTTGAGACACCTTGTTAGGGTATTATTTACTGGGGATGCTCTTACTTCTATCTTGATTTGATTTTTGTTTTGTCAATATTGATTTTCATTCTAACGTGGAAATTCATTTCTGTTTGTATAGTTTGGTTATTAATTTTAAAATAAACCAAAGTAAAAACGAAATTTAACACACTACAGAAGTTCAATGTTTGTGTTTTGGTCTACTATACCATTTCAGTAAATTTTCTAACTTCCTTCCAGATTGGTTTGGGTTATATATAAATCAGGTAATCGAACATACAAAATGAAACTTTAATAAGCAAATTAAGATGTAATTAGGTCTTCGGACCAACTTCTTTTTTCAGTTCGGATAATATTATAGAGATTATCGGATTGAACATTTGTAAATCCAAAAATAATTCCATATTAAATATTAGATTTCTACCCCTAACAAATCTGATTCCCTTATAGGATTGGTATTTCTAGAATTTGACCCCCCAGGAAAAAAGGAATCAGATTCTTGTTTCAAAACAAAGTCTATTCAGATCTGAAGAACAAGAGAAGAAGAAACATAGTTCAAGTGTTCAAGTCTCTGTTCCAATATGTCTTCAACACCACCAACAACAACAACAACAGATTCTACCGAATTGCAATTTCTAATCCAACGGTTCCAAAATTACAAAACTCATCGTATTATTCAACATTTTCCTGCAAAATCTTCAGCAGTCTTAATTTGTCTATACCAAGAACAAGACAAAAACGATCTACGCGTAATCTTAACCAAACGCTCCTCTACTCTTTCTTCTCATCCTGGTAAAATCAAAATCTCTCTTACGACATTTTTCATGTAAAAAAAAGATTTCATCTTTTTGAATCCTACTGTGTGAAAATGGACGTTACAGGGGAAGTAGCATTGCCTGGAGGAAAGAGAGACGAAGAAGAAGATCCAGATGATATAGCTACAGCCTTGAGAGAAGCTCGTGAAGAAATCGGTTTAGATCCTTCTCTTGTTACAATAGTTTCTGTTCTTGAACCATTTGTTACAAAGGTAAAAAAACTGTATCGAAGATTTCAAAACCTGTAAATTTCAAGTTGCTTGATGAATCCTATTAAGGTTTTCGGCATTGCAGATAGGCATGCCGGTTGTACCGGTTATCGGTTTTTTAGCCGACAAGAAAGCATTTAAACAGTTACCAAATCCAGCTGAAGTAGAAGAAATCTTTGATGTTCCATTAGAGATGTTTCTTAAGGTCCTTAAACCCTCTTTTCTGATAAACTCCATCACCAGGTTTTGATCATCTTTAATGGGTCTCCCTGTTTTACCGCAGGACAAGAACAGGCGAGCAGAGGAACGAGAGTATGAAGGAGAGAGATATCTTCTTCATTACTTCGATTACTATTCCGAAGACAAAGAGAGAAACTTTATGATATGGGCACTCACCGCTGGTATTCTAATCAGAGTTGCCTCCATTGTTTACCAGAGATCTCCAGAGTTTCAAGAACGCAAGCCAAGCTTCTGGAATTGAAACATGAATGGAGAAGAAACTCTTTATCTTTTTAAACAAGCAGAGAAACAAAAACTGGATCTTTAAGTGTGTGTTTTGCATATGTTTTATTCAAGAATCTGTCTTTCACTCTAGCTGAAAACCTCGTAGAACTTCTCTGTAACGAGGATCCCCGAATCCATAGATTCAAGCGGATCTTTTCTGAGACGGTGTCTTAAGCAATTCGGTATAACGATACCAACATCTTCTGCAGTCACTTGGTCTCTTCCTTTGAGTGCAGCGAGCGCTCTCGCCGCTCTGTTCGTCACAATGTCTCCTCTCAACCCATCAACGTCCAGCTCGGCGCAGACCCTAGAGATCTTCACTCTCAAATCTTGATCGATCTGAACCTCGGAAAGATTGCTTCTTGCAGACGTAATCTGCTCCTGGAGCTTCATCTGTTCCGCAAGATACGACTCCCGAAACTCCTTCGGGTCACTGTCGAAACGAGCTCTCTCTTCAACGATCTTGACTCTTAGCTCCGCGTCTCTCACCGTCCCTACTTGCGCGTGCATACCAAACCGATCAAGAAGCTGTGGTCTAAGCTCTCCTTCTTCAGGATTCCCTGAACCAATGAGGATAAACCGAGCGGGATGAGAGATCGAAATGCCTTCTCTTTCAACAGTGTTCCACCCCGAGGCGGCGGAATCAAGAAGAACATCAACCAAATGGTCATCCAAGAGGTTAACCTCGTCCACGTAGAGAATCCCTCTGTTGGCTTTAGCTAGCAGTCCAGGCTCAAAGGCCTTGACACCTTCGGTTAAAGCCTTTTCGATATCGATTGTCCCGCAGACTCTGTCTTCCGTAGCACCTAAGGGAAGATCAACCATGTTGATCTTGGTTTCCACCACCGTGAGCTCTTCTCCCTTTTGGACTTTCTCCCTCACTTCCTTCCCCATAAACTCAGGATCTCTCGGGTCTGAGTTGTACGGATCACCGGCAACCACCGTGATCTCGGGAAGCAGATCAACCAAGGATCTAACGGTTGTTGATTTACCGGTTCCTCTGTCTCCCATTATCATCACACCGCCTATCTTGGGGTCAATCACGTTTAACAAAAGGCATAGCTTCATCTCGTCTTGTCCAACAATAGCAGCAAAAGGATAAACAGGCCTTGCACTTTCCTTTGAATCAATCTTCTTTGCCTAAAAACCAAAACAAAACAAAATAAAATCAAACATTTCACCAAAAAGTACACAACTTTCAACAGTTCTAAGAAACATATGATTCTAGCTCACAAATCATTCCAAAGATTGATGCTTTTTTTCTGGTTTTGTTTTGTTTTGTTTTGTTTCAAGAAGCTCATACTTGTTCTATAGAGTTGATCTCAGTGGCAACATTCATAACAGAAACATGATAACGAGATCTGTTCTTCTTTGTCTCTAAGTGTATTCTTCCATATAACTTTCTTCCACAAATTTTACCTGCAAAACAAAACAAATCACACTCTCCAATTAGAACTTATCCTACAAAATTCTATTAGAATAACTGAAATTGGGCTACATTCTGCATTAGTTTGCACTCAATCTAGCTTCACAGGTAAAAAAATTACGGACTTGAACAATGTAGATGTAAGAATGGGGATTTTAGATGGGAAGGTTCAAACCTGGCCCGAAGCAGACAGAGTACATTGAAGGTGTTGAAGAAAAAGAAGAAAGACGAGGGCAAGTCAAGATTGAAGAAGGGGATGCCATTGTTAGTGATCTCTGAAAGCTTTTCAAGTTTCGTTTCTGAGAATTCGTTTCTGTATTGGATAAGGAGAGAGAGAGAGAGATTTTCCCTCACTCGCTAAAATGTTGTAATATGCATATTTATCTTTTTTGCAATTTTCCTCTAAAACTTAAAAGGCTTCGTTTATGTTTACATAAGAAATCCATCAGTTATTGAAGCCCAGCTTTGGTCCAACTTTGCTTGACGATTTTGGAATGTCCCCGAGATGGGTTTCTCTAACTTTTCTGTCTATGATCTTTAAATTGAATTATCCGCGCTATATGCTACCGGATATTTTTTTAAATTTAGTATATTTTTTATATAATAAAATTATTTTTATAATATAAATAAATATTATGTTAATTATTTTATTATTTTAAATTATGTATTTATATATTTTAAATCTGAATAAAAATTATATATTCTTAATTTTTTTTCAAAATTGTAATTTACTATCATATTTATTTAACTAATTAACTAAAAATATATATAAAAAATAAAATAATACGTTTTTTAAGTACATTCATGCTAATGGCAAATATAATCTATTTTTTTTACTAAATTATCACTTGATCTTCCCTCATAATTATATAAAGCAAAATGCCACTTTTAAAAAAGATATATTAATTAATATAATTATTTTGAATTATAAAATTTATTTATCTATCAACTATTTATTATAAACATATGTTTCTAAACCTACCAAACTATAATCAATAACTTTCATATCAAAACAATTACTAATGCTTTAGAACTAAATAAAAAAATATATTTGAACAATTGAAATATCAATTTAGCAAAAGTTAAATAATTTAATTTTAGTTACTGTAAACATATATTAACTTGAAATTTTACCACCAAGAAATTTTATTTTTTTACAAAAACTGAAATATCGCATTTCCCGTTAAAACCAAAAAAAAATTCATTTTCTAAGAAAACTGAGAAATTGTCTATTCCCGCTAAAACCAAGAAATTTTATTTTCTCGTCAAACCAAAAATTTCATCTTCCCACTAAAACCAAGAAATTGCATTTTCAGCAAAAACCAAGAAATCACATTTTTCTGCGAGAATCAGTGATTTTCACCAAAACCGAGAAATCACGTTCTCTCACCAAAACAAAAATATTTCATCTTCATGCAAAAACCAAAAAATATTTCCCGTCAAAACCGAAAAAAATTATTTTCCCACAAAAACCTAGAAATCGCCTATTCCCGCCAAAACCAAGAAATTTTATTTTCTCGTCAAACTAAAATTTATGTTTTCCCACCAAAACGGAGAAATTACATTTTCCCGCGAAAACCAAAAATTGCATTATCTCGCGAGAAATTGTGCTTTCCCGCGAAAATTAAGAAATCAAATTTTCCCATGCAAACTAAGAAATTGCATTATCCGTCAAAAAAATGAATATTTGCATTTTCCATCAAAACTGAGAAATTGCTTATTCCCACCAAAACCGAGAAATTTCATTTTCTCTTCAAACCGAGAAATTCCATTTTCTGCCAAAATCGTCAAATTATATTTTTCTGCAAAAACTAAAAAAATCGTATTTCTCCTCGAAACCCAATAAATTGCATTATCTGTCAACTTAAAACATACGGTTTGTGAGCTTCTTATAACTTACAGGCATAGTTTATGTTGGACTTACATTTTCATTAATTATACACTTCTCTGTCAAGCAAACATGTAGCTAGACATTCTAATTTTTTAATTTGCTAATATTTATTATTTGGATTTGGCAAAAAATAAAGGGAAATTTTGTAAAATACTACTTATCAAATCATCATTTTCAAAACTACCACCAGATAAAAGATTTTCAGAAATACTACACTTTTTAATATGAGGATTACGATATTACCTTTGCTGATTGAGGGGAAAAAATGTTGCCGACGAACAAAATTCTTAATTCCGGATTGATCGATGGTTTTTCGTCGCTAAATTTTACGTTTAGCGGGGAATCGGATTGCTGGAAATCGAGACTAACGCGACAATTGAAGATCTCCGATGAGACGGAGCATGGTTTTGCGACGGTGGAGCTTTATATTGCGCCTGATAGTTGGTCTTGCGATTTGTAATCGATCACTTGGTAAGCTCTCGTTTATGATTGCGCAATGGATTATTGAAATTTTTGATCGAAAATCAAAGTCAGCCAATGAAAATCAGGGCGGGTCAGATATTGATTTTTTGTGTTTCATTCTATGATCGTTTACTATATTGTTAGCACACATATTCTACTCAAACAAACTTCTTCGGTTGGTCTACACTGAGATTTCTATCAATCTTTGTCTGCTTATGATGATTCAAGTTTTGATTTTGATGATGGTTTGGTTTTAGGTTCTGGATTATTGGTGATCTAATTGAAAGGAATTGACTTTTGGCAGCTTGAATTGGAAGCTGTATCGGCCATAGTTGATTCTTTGAGTGCTAGTAGTGCCCTTTTACGTCACTAGGTTTGTTAATATTCTTTAATTTGAGGATTTTCAGTTTTGATCATTGTTTTCCAGTGAGCATTTACTCTTTAAAGATGTTGATGAACGTGAATGAGTCAGCTTCGTTAAGTTCTTATATCTTGAATCTTTTCTTTATTGTCTCCAGTTATAACACTGTATAAGTGTTTTATGATAAAAAAATCATGTATAAGTGTTGCCCTCTAATTGATGTAAGTATTTATTTGGTTGTCTGTGTCTTGATCCAATTACAACTTAGAGATGTGAATGAGCACCCAATGGTTAGACAGGAGGTTGCAGAAAAGCTTGGTTTTATTGCAGGTATATTCCCTTAAATGCAATTCATCGCTTGAACTATCACAATTTGGCTGTCTTTACTTATTCCATTGGTTTTGCCTTGCTATTTTCTGATGAGTAGAGTACCACTGTCAGGTACGTTGTCCAGGCAAGTCAGAACAACCTTCAGCAAATCAGGGACACAAGTCTTGAAGTAAAGGGATGCGCTTTGGAACTCTTCCGGGGTTGTGTCGAACAATCTTGTATCGAGATGAAGGAACGGGAGTTTCACGACGTCTCTTAAAGCATCTAGATGATTGCCTTGTCTGACCAGCTTGTGGATCTACGATATTGCCTCAAGCTCTCGTAGTATTGTTTCTTGTTCCATGACCCGATCTCTTTCCTGAAAACTGGTGTATACAAGAGTGTGACACTGAGAAACTCCCTCTTCAATAACTACAACCAATTTAAATAATTGAGTTTATTAGAGTCTGCAATTTACCTGACTTAAGATTAGTATTTGCAAGTGTCAAAAATATCGTTTCTTGAGATCCAATAATAATTATTTCTAATGATTTAAAACCATCTTTTAAATCTTTATAAATTACTATACAAATACATATTTTAAAATATATAAAATTATCTATAAGTTTTCGATTTCCATACATATAGATCTAATAATAATTATTTATACAAATGGTACTTTGAACTTGGAACGAGCATGAAGAAATTCACGATACATCTTTATCTTTTGAGTTGTTTTGCCGTATCGGTCGCTCAAGACCTTTGGTCTCTATTCGGACCCGATGAAAAAAATAGAATCATTTCTTATGGATTCATTGAGAATGATTCGGATCTATTTCATGGCCTATTAAAAGTGCAAGACGTTTTGGTGGGATCCTCACGGACAGAAAAAGATTGCAGTCAATTTGATAATGATCGAGTGACATTGCTTTTTCGCTCCGAACCAAAGGATCCCTTATATATGATGCAAGATAGATCTTGTTCTATCGTTGATCAGAGATTTCTCTATGAAAAACACGAATCGGAGTTTGAAGAAGGAGAAGGAGAAGGAGTCCTCGACCCGCAACAGATAGAGGAGGATTTATTCAATCACATAGTTTGGGCTCCTAGAATATGGCGCCCTCAAGGCTTTCTATTTGATTGTATCAAAAGGTCTAATGAATTGGGATTTCCCTATTTGGCCGGGTCATTTCAGCGAGAATTGGACCAGACTCCTGCAGAACTCCTCAGCGAGAAGCTCGAGAAGTGTCTTTCCCGCTTCCCTTCACAGGGAAAAAGGAAGTCATCTCAATGATTTAAAAACATCCTTTTAACTCTTTTTAAATAATATATAAATGCATATACTCATTTATAAAGATTTAAAAAGAGGTTTTCAAATCATTATAAAAACTAGACGATACTTAAGTTAGTGATCTTGGAAACTTGTAAATTATAAAAACACTAAACCACATTCATAATTATCATATGTAGGAATTTATTTGTTTATAGAATATATAAGTAATTACCTACTCATTTATAAGGATTTTAAAAGAGCTTTTTAAATCTTTATAAAAACTAAATAATATTCTATTTAGAAATCTTAAAAACTTATAAAGACGTATAACCACTAAATATGTTCCTTGCTGCCGATGGGAAAAAAGATCCAACGAATAAAAAATCTGTTATTTGTGAGTTTTTAAACTATATCACTCTAACCTTTGTGAGTTACATGGTATTAGAATTTCATTTGTCACTTTAAATCATATCTTGTTGCTTTGGATGCTAAATTCCATAACGAATCATTTCATACGAGTTTGTAAAGCATTATAAATCTTTTTAAAATATTACTAAATGCTAACTAATACGAGTTTATAATGCATTATAAAGCTTTCTAAAATATTATAAAGCTTTCTAAAACATTATAAATCTTTTTAAAAAGGAATAATTCATCATCTTCGATAAACATTGTTGATATAAATTATAAAGTAGCACCTACGAGATTTTTTTTGGATTTTTTTAAAGCTCGTGTTTGGGCTTGGATTTTAACTACAATAATGTTACATTTGTGGATATTTAGAAATAAATTTTTGCATAATGAACGAATGGTTGTGTGGCATGATGGTTACACATCCCTACTAAAGGTGAAAAATCCTTTAAAATGATTAAAAAACTTTAAAATTCATTTCATACGAGTTTATAAACCATTATAAAACTTTTTAAACACTGCTAAATGCTAACTAATACGAGTTTTTAAAACATTATAAAACTTTTTAAAACATTATAAAACTTTTTAAAACATTATAAATCTTTTCAAAAATGAATAATTTATCATTTTCAATAAACATAATTAAGCTTTAACATTGTTATATAAAATAGCATATACGAGATTTTCTTGGATTTTTTAAGGCTCGTGTTTGAGCTTGAATTTTAACCACAATAATGTTACATTCGTGGATATTTAAAAATAAATTTTGTATAATGAACGAATTGTTGTGTGGCCTGATGGTTACATATCCCTACTAAAAGTGTAAAATCCTTTAAAATAAATTTTTTAAAAAATTAAAATTCATTTCATACGAGTTTATAAAGCATTATAAAACTTTTTAAAAACTGCTAAATGTTAACTAATAAGAGTTTATAAAATATTATAAAACTTTTTAAAACATTAATAAAGCTTTATGAATTTATTTTGATCTGAGTTTTACAAATAAGTGGTTGAAATAGATTCAAATATTTTTGAAACCTTTACAAATCAGTTTATAAGAGCTCATAAAACCTTTATAAAGATTTTTAAAACCATTTTAAGAACTGAAGCAATTTTTTGGGATATGTAATTTGAGTCCCATTTGTTTTTTTATAACAATTTAAAAACCATTTTAAGAATCTTCATAAATGAATAATATGGGATAAAATAACTTTTTTACCATCATTAATAGAAGTAGAATCAAATAGTGTTATTAACCAGATGTAAAAGTTCGAAATCTACAAGTATAATCTATCAAAAATTACAAGTTATAAACAATACCCTTTGATTTTTGGGGTCTCATCCAAACACTTAATATAAATGAATGATTGTGAGGTCAATCAGCTTTGAGTTACAAGGTCCCCTGTAGATTCCACTTTGAGGATTTCATATATGAATTTATAAAACCTGACATACTCATTATTATTGTATGTAGAAATTTATTTGTTTATAAAGAATATGTATTGCTCATTTATGAAAACTTAAAATGATCTTTTTAAATCTTTATAAAAACTAAATGATACTCGAACTAAAGATCATCAAGACTTGCAGTGGCGTATAAATCCACTACAGCATACTCGTTATTGTTGTATGTAAAACTTTATTTGTTTATAAAGAGTATATATACTAATTTATAAATTTTTAAAAAGATTGTTTATAAATAATATTTATACTAATTTATAAAGTTTTTAAAAGATGTTTATAAATCTTTATAATAATTGAACGAGAGATTCCAAATACTTACAGAATTATATAACTACTAAACCATATTCAATATTGTTGTATGAATGAATTTAATTATTTATAGAAAATATGTATTACTAATTTATAAAGATTTAGAAACCTTTTTTTAAATTTTTACATTTTTTGGCTTAATGGTTACATTATAAGTGTTTGCGCTCCTTAAATGGATGCTCAATTTTTTCATAAAGATTTAATAGATTTGTATACTAATTTATAAAGTTTTATAAATCTATTTAAAAAGATTTAAAAGATGTTATAAATCTGATTATAAATCACTATAATTTTTTTCAATAAAATTTTATAAAGCCTTTTTAAATGATAATAAATCGTTATAAGGAATAACAAAGTTTTGTTCATCATTCTTACAATCAAATAATCTACTTGCTTAAGTACAACATCGGGGACTTATGAAACATAGATCAGTTTTCAATATAAACAGTTGATCGTACTTAAATAGATGTTACAATCGTAATCAAATAATCGACTTGCTTAACTATGTTCCAGAGATTTCTTCATCATCAATCAATATAAAAAACCTTTAACTTTTACCCCTTTTCGCTTTCTGCAAAACATCTCTAGAATATTATTACAATACTCTTAAATGTGAAGTAAGAAAACACTGTCACTTTAAGAAGGCGAATATACAATCATGCACTTAAATTCACCAACTCCAATCAAATCTAAGATAAGCTTAAAAACTTTTGGAGTCAAAACTTCACAAATCAACTTTTCAATGATTCAATGGAACACAGAATCATATAAACAAATGAACCGAGTTCATCCATGCTTTTTAGTAAAGTGATGGTAAAGTACATTAAACATTTTCATTACGGCAACAAATGTTGTGCTTGGACTAACCGATCTCTGGGATTTTGGAAACCCTCTTTCTCCCACAGCGGTGCTGTGATATGTCCAGACATTACCCGACCGCAACAATGCATTCTCTACTTATTATTGCGAAAGAACAAAAAGTATGTGTTTTTCCACTTCAGTCTTCACCTTCTCCACAGGTTTCTCCTCCATTTTCGTCTCTTCCACGGTTAACTTCTCAAGAAGACCAGCGGTGTCAGAGGCATCTTTGCTCTCTTCTTTCTTTTCTTCAGTTTCACCAACCTCATTGAACTTTTCCATAATTGATTTGCAATCTGAAAAGGAAAATAAGAATTGATTACCCATGCATCTCTACAAAACTTTTCGTTTCCTGTGATTAACAGCTCAGAAACCACTGAAAAATATACACCCCAACAAAAGAACACAGTAGATCATGTCATAATGGCACATCAAACTAGTTCCAGCCTAAGAACATGCTTAACCACCTCAAGGTCGATGCCTCTTTCTAATGTCATAATCAAACTGCTATAGTACTTATTTTGATAACGCCTGCCGCGTTACTAATGCGTTTAAAAACACAGTGATGAGCGTGTCATACTCAGAGGAAAGGAAAATCCAAGCAATTGACTACTCTAAAACATCCTTATAATGAGTTGAGCTATATAATAAAGTTATGTTCAAGATCCTTTAGTAATCTAAGGCACGTATGTTCAACCAACTATGTAAGTAAGTCTACTGAGAATAAAGAAGGCAGAGCATAACTAACATGCATAAAGGGAAATGAAAAAAGTAAGCAATCAGAAGGTGAAGATTTAAGATATGTTACATATCAGTCAATAGCCATATTCACACACGCAAAAAAGCGGATTGCTAATACACTTGCATCACAAGATCCAATGGATGAGCATACCCACTCTCAATTGAAGCAAATCGGATGCAGAAAAGTTCATCCTTCAGTTCTCCGTCGGCAAAGTCACGAGCGTGCCATACACAAGACTTTTCATTTCCAACGTGTTCCTGAACACTCATGCCTGGTTTAACTGCAGAAATTTGACGGAGAAGACCAAATCAGTAAACAGTGACCTAAATACATGATCCAGAGGCAACAAAAACCACAGAAAGAACTCTAAACGAAAACTTTACCGAAGTGATTAGCACAGATCTTCAGAGTTTTCGATTGCCTCATGACGAGACGAATCTTCCTAGTATTCTTATGCTTTAAAAGCTTCACAGTACCAGCTCCTCGCTCCTTCCACTGATTCGCATCCTTGTCGAATCGATATAGCTTCGATTTCCTTCGATTCACAAACAAATTTCAATCAAAAATCTCAAGACATCGCTCAGCAACCGAAGTTAAACCATAGAAATTTGAACAAGCAAAACAGAACACTTCTCTGGTAGCGTTTCATGAGTATTATAAGAGTAAACAAATATCAGAATCATCGGAATTTTCTGAAGAACAGCCGCAGAGATTTAAGACTATTCCGTCGATATCGATGAAGAAAGTGAGAGACGCGTAGAAATACATCAAGGGTAATTTAGGATATTTCAATATCAGACAATAGTCTTTATGAAAATGGACAAAAAATGATTGTATTTTTAAAAAGTGGTAACATTAAAGTAGTAGTTTTGAAGTTTTCCCAAAAATAAAATAGATTTTTTGTTATTATTTGTTATTTGGGCTTGGGTTTGAAAAAAAAAAAACAAATGTTTTTTTTATTTGCTGTTATTTATTATTTGGGCTTAGGTTTGGCCAAAAATAAAAATAAAATAAAAAATAAAAAATATCTCGGTTTTTAATGGATTTAAATTTAAAAATTAAAATAAATAGATGACTTGTATTGATAAAATGTTTTGATTGGTGATTATTTTTGCTGAAGTGTCATGTTTAAAAAGCTTAAACAAACTGAGGTGTCATCCACAGGAGAGACACTTGTGTTATTGTTGTATTGATGATTTTTTTTTTGTAAGAATTGTTGTATTGATAATTAGTTTCACACTTCCAGAAATTTTTTCTGATTTTTGGTTTGTACTTTGTACACTCGATTTCTCTAGATTGGGAAATTAAGTTTTTTTTAATCAAATCAATAAGAACTAGGATTTAGTCCATTCTACATGCGGGGTAATTGATTATATATATACATATATATATATATATATATATATATATATATATAATTTAAATTGTACTATGCAGTTTAGTTTTACAGATATATATTTTATCATATTGGGTGATATGTTTATTGTCTGGTTTTATTGTTTGTTGAACTAAAATGTGTTATTATTTGTGAATGGTATTTTCTTTTCTTTACGTGTGATATTTATTCTAAGTTTGTAGTTATGTTTGTATAATTATTAGATCATTTGTCGATTATATATGTGAATTATTTTGTATAGTTAAGATTTTGACTTAGAATTCGATAGATTTTAAAAATATATGTGATAGTTTTAATGAAGTTATTATTTAACACTGTAAATATTTGATTAAGATGATTGTTAGGTCTTTTATTTTAATTAAATAAGACTCTTTAAAATTATATAGTAGATGAATATAGAAACATTCTTATTTTTTGTGTTTTACCATTATATTTGTGGTCAACTTAAGAAATATGAATATTTTGATTTACTATAAAAATACTTTTATTTTATATATATATATATATATATATATATGAATTACTTAAAGTGCTGAAATGCTTTTAAATAATATCGAAACCTATAAGTTATATTGTGCGTATACATAAATTTAATTAGTTTTTTATCTACCATCGCAACTGGTTACGATTTATTATATTATAAATGATTTTTTTGAATTACGAATATGCTATTTTAAAATAATATCAAACAGAAAAAATATCAGTACTGATGTTCAAATTATTAAAAAAATTAGACAAAAAATAGACTTGTTAATTGAATAAAAAAAATGTATAAATTATTTCAAATTTAAAAAGAAACTAAATAAAATATCAACAATCAAAAAGGGAAAGCCTAACTTAAAAAAGCCCAACTTGAAAAAGCCTAAAATAATAAACTAAACGATATACAATTTTATCTTTCTCTCGACTCTTCCTCTCCATATTATCGAGAAGACAAAGCTTCATCTCGACTCTTCTTCTCCCGACTTCGACGAAAAGACAAACCAAAAATCAGATTCATTTCTTCTCCTGCTTCGTTTCTTCTCCCCCAAATCACACACATCTCTGAACAGAAGTTCCTCTAATCTTCCGATCTACTAAAATCTCTATTTTCTTTCAAACACATCGATCTCATAGCAAAGTCGATTGATCTCGCCGTTTAAATCCTTCGATCTTGCAAATAACGAAGAGTTCCGATTATTTAATGCAATTCAATCATCGGTTCAATCGATCTGTTCGATCTCATAAATTGAAGACTCGTTTTCAGAGTATGAAGTCAAAATTTGGCCGATTGACTTTGCGATTGTTCTTGGGAGGGCAAATTCCAGATAAGTAATTATATATCTTTTCATGCATGTAGAATTAGTTTCACAAATAGTTGAGGTGATGAGTAACCGTAGATCAATCGCTGTTTGTGTTTCTTACAGGGATGGGTCGGAAAGAAACGTCCGATTAATACTTCTACAACAACAAAAAAAAAATAAGTAACTCATATTTTTTTCTTCGGTGTTTTTAGTAAATAATGTTTACAATAGATTGTTTTTGAAAGCGTGAAAATTATAATTGATATTTTTGATAATTAACCAAATAATTAGACGAAGCAATGTTTTTTATTCTTAATTATAAACATGATCGGGTTTTCTGATGAATATTTCTTCGGACGGAATATAGATTTTGTTATTTTTGTGAATTAGCACAAAAACTGATTATAATTACTTGTTTTTTTAAAACAGGAAATTCGTGAACAGATTAAAATTACGGATACCTGAGATGCTTCACATTTGGAAAATAAAAGGACTTTTTGCAACTAAACGGAATTCAAAGAAAATTCAGAAGAACAAGTCAGTTTCTCTTCGTTCTTTTATATTCCTGAGTATACGTTAGATGAATGATGAGTATTTCAATAAAAATTCTTTGCTTAATAGACAATGATTGATTGAAAATAGATAAGCTTGAAATACAAAAACACCAACTATAAAAAATCAAATAAAAGTAACAGTTAAAAGAAATTAACTCACTGTTATAACAACTAAAGGTTTTGAAAAATTTCTTTGAAAACAACATTTGTAGTCTGGCTTCTGAGGATTCCCTTCCTTGTCTATTGTAAGAATTTTCAAACCTTTTTTAGAAGTAACCCGAGAGAGTGCAACGTAAAGCTGACCATGAGAAAACACGGGCTAAGGAAGAAACAGACCAACTTCCTTTAGTGATTGTTGTCCTTGGCTCTTGTTAATGGTCATAGCAAAAGCTACAGCTAATGGAAACCGTCTTCTTCTCATTTGAAAAGGCAGCTTAACGTCTGATGGAGAAATCACAATCTTAGGAATCAAAACCTTAGAACCCACTCTATCTCCTGTAATAACTCGAGCTTCTAAAACATGATCAGCCATCTGTGTTATCTGTAATCTAGTTCCATTACATAATCCCCCCTTTAGGATATATGTTTCGTAGCAACATCACTGGAACACCTATCTTAAGACGTATAGAATGTTTGGGTAATCCAGGTACCTTTATACTGTGTAGGAAATCAAGAGTGAAAATTGGATTGTTGCTTGAAACTGTATCCATAGGATCTATAGTATCAGCACTTAAATAAACTCTTTCATCACCTGATACAATAAATAATTAACTCAGTATACTTATGCATATATTAATAATAACTTTACAGTTAAATGTAAATATTATAAGAAATAAGAACGTACCTTTAATTTTATCAAGCATAAGTTCATTGATCAAATCAACATCGCCATTGGTTGGACATAAGATAGCTCTTTCTTGAAAAAACTTTGGATCATCATTCTGTATCAACAAATTTGGATCACCATAAACTTCATTGCTAATCACTTCAAGGGGATCAGTCGCTTCAGTAATAAGTAATTCTTCAGGAATATATATTAGAGCTTCACCGTCATTAGGCTCCGAAAGTTTCCCATCTCCGACATCTAATAACCATTATGAGAATTTCTTAATTTCATTAGCTTCATCGCGACTCAGATTACCAGAAAATAGCCTCATGTTCTTAGTTAACTTCAGGACCTTGAAATGTTCCCAAATATAAAACGAATTCAATGAAGATATAACTATCTCCGCTCTCCCTGCACCATTAATTACAGGTAGAACCTGTCTAAAATCCCCTCCAAAAACCATAACTTTGCCTGCAAAAAGGATTTCCATCTACGTTTCCAATAATATCATACAAACTTCTATCCAAGGATTCAAAGCAATACTTGCTCATCATAGGGGATTCATCCCAGATTATCATCGCTGCTTCTGTAACCATATTAGCAAGATCTGATCCAGCTTTCATCGAACATAAAGTAAAATCATCAGGATTAATAGGAATACCAAACCTCGAGTGTGCTGTCCTACCTCCTTCTAACAACAAAGAAGCAATACCGCTAGATGCCACATTAAGTACAATAGACCCTTTAGATTGTATCGCAGCACATAAATGTTTTACCGGTTCCTCCAAAACCATAGACAAAGAATATACTTCATTTTCCACTAAAAACAGCACTTGTGATTTGATCATATATTCCTCTCTGCTCGGATGTTAACATCTTCAACCATTCATCATGTTTCTTCTCTAAATCAACAGTGTCGTAGGACATCTCATCAACAATAAAACAATTCTCATGATTGATCCTCTCTCCACTTGGTTGTGGCATTGATGGAAATCGATCGAGAGAAGTTCTCATGTTCAACAGTAACTTATCAATTTCTTGCAGAGTAAAATTTTTCTTGTCAGCATCATTTAATTGAAGATCTGTAAAAATTTAAACAATAATTAGAGTACAATACTATGAAAAACATGATATTAATAAATGTATGAACAAATTGAAAATGTTTCCTATTATCAGGATTGTTGAACTCGTTTCTTTTCTTTCTCTCCATATCCTCTGATAGAATAAGCCATGTCTTCTCCCAAACATCTTCTGGAGTTGTTAAGCAATCAGAAGAAAGCATCAACGCAAAGAAATTACGGAGATAATCTCCAAAACACCATAAACTTGTAGATATAATACTGTCAGTATACATCTGATCATTTTCCAAAATACCACGCGCAAAACATGTTTCTTTATATGTTTTATGAACAACTCCTCTGAATTCTCGAATCTCTTCAAAACTTCTAGGACCAGTGACTATATTTAGAAGAACTCCGAGATAGTAATCACTTTCTAATTTCCTCGGAACATAGTTAATCCTCCCAATACTAAAATCCTTTT